CCGAACGCCGACTTAGGTGGTTTTGGTTCTGAGCAAGGACCAGGGATTTTAACAATAAGGAGATTTATCTAAAATGTTTATTTTGATGCATAAAAACATTTTATGATTTTGTAAAATAATTTTGACTCTTTGAGAACCGAGACTTGAATTGATTATCGGTTTTGATCACAAAAGACCGACTCGACTAAGTCTTCAATTCTTGATCTGTCCTTGAGTCTTTTAGGTCTTGTTCCAAGCCATTCTTCACGCCTTGAGTTATTCAACGAAACTCTTCATATCCACGGTGGTTTGGCAATTATCAAAACCTGTCAGAAATGAACACGACTTTAGTTTAACGTGCAAAGTGTGTTCCAACAGTTTAGACTCACCCATCGCTGGTAAGCCAATTTTCCTTCAGTTTTGAAGCCAATGGTCACCTACCCATCGATGGGTAAATGCTTCCCATCGCTGGGTGGGAGGTTGACTTTCAAACAAGGAAAGAATCAGCCTTAAATGACTCACAACGGTCATGCCTAAGTAAAGCACTAAGTAAAACAAGATTCCCCCTCAGTTGTTGCATATACCCAAATACTTCCCCCTTTTCGCATTAGCAAAAAGCACTAAGTAAAGTTTTTTTTTAAAAAAAAAAGGGTACTCCTTGAGCATTGATGTTTGATACAAAACATCTTTGTTGTATGTTCCCCCTAAAACTGATATCATGTTTATAGCAAAAACAATTCCCCCAAACTCCCCATGATGCAAATTATTAGGTTTCGTGCTTGGAGCATCCACTACAAAAATGTAGTCTTCAAACACACCTACATATGCATCTAAAAGTAATTTTTTGGTACCCAAAAACTTTTGGGTCCTTGAAGGTTAGGCAAATAATGATCATAGTTATAAAACAAATCCCTGTGTGGTAAAACAAATGGGTGCTATGTGTCCTATCTTAGAGCAATAATGGCAAATTACATTTGGGTTATGCATATGCCTAGGTTGAGCTAAAAAATTTCTAGGTGATCTAAAGTCATTATTCCTAGAATTATTAATTAAGTTCCTAGACTCATTTCTAGGTTGCCTCAAATTATTTCTATCATTTAAAAAAATCTTAGAGTCATTTCTAGGTTGTCTCAACTTATTATATTTATTCTTTCGAAAATTAATTTTGCTATTCCTAGGATTATTTGTTCTTCTAGGTGGTTTATCATTATTAACTTCTTCACCAAGTTTCTTAGGTTCTTCTACCTTAAGTTTTTCTATGGTGCTCTTAAGTTCTACATTCTCTATTTTTAAAGACTCACAAGAGAAACAAGTAGAACTTTGGTCAAAGTAAGAAGCTTCATTCATTGCCTTAATTTTATTTTTGAGGTCAAAATTATCATTTTCCAAAAATTTATTTTCCTCTTCCAAAGCATGAATTTTTATCTTAGCCTCTTTGGAAATTTTTGAAGTTTTCTTCAATTCACCAAATAATTCTTGAAAGGCTTCTTGTAATTCTTCAAATGAGAAAGAGTTAGAAGTACTTACCTCTCCATTTTGTTCATGAGCCATAAGACATAAGGTGGCAGTTTCGTCACCGGAACTTTCCGAATCCCATGCCATGTATGCTCGTTCCTTCTTCTTCTTTTCCTTGCAGTATGGGCAATATGGCTTTATGTGGCCAAGTTCACCACAACCAAAGCACGTTGGAATGTGTTCCCCCTTTCTTTTACAATCTCGGGACCTAAGTTCTTCCTTCAAAAACTCTTGGAACTTCTCGAGCAAGTTATAAGAAGGATTATCGTCATCGCTATCGGAGTCACTTACCTCTACCCTTTTTGAGGATGAGGCTTTGAGAGCAAGATCGGGACTCTTGTGAAGAGAAGGTTTAAGAACAGTAGATTCATAAGTTTTAAGATTACCTCGAAGAGCATCGATGGTGACATTGGTGTTACCAATTGACTCATATATGGCATCAGCTTTTGAACGCCATTCTGATGTTAAGCTCCGAAGGATTTTTCGAACAAGATCTTTGTTCGAGTATGTTTTACCAAGGACATGAAGATCATTGATAATCTTTAAAAATCGGTCGAACATTTGATCAACGCTTTCAATTTCCTTCATTTTAAACAACTCATATTCATGGGTTAGAAAATCAATTTTAGCTTCACGGACTTGAGGCGTAGCTTCGTATGTCACTTCAAGCTTATCCCACATTTCTTTTGCGGTGGAGCAAGAGGAAATTTTCCGCTAGTCATCCGGGTTAATTGCACAAAAAATCACGTGTTTAGCTTTTTCAAAAGCTTCTACCTTCTTGATGTCTTCAGCATCATATTCTTCCTCCTTCTTTGGGATGGTGGTTTCAAGAACCTTTTTCATTGGCGTCGTCTCACAATTTTTGATGATTAACCACAGTTGGAAGTTGATTGACCGAATGTAAATCCTCATTCGTTCCTTGCAATAGGTGTAGTTTGTTCCATCGAAGAGTGGAGGTCTAACGGTGGAGTGTCCTTCACTTAATCCTGCATACGACATTCTCAACAAAAAGATATAGATCCTTCTCTCAACCGGTGAAGGCTTGTAGAGAGTTAGGCTCTGATACCAATTGTTAGAATACGTGACCAACGCTAGAGGGCGGGTGAATAGCGTTTGATCGTAGAAATCGCAGGAAAAAAAAATTAAGAAAGTGAAAAGAAAAAAGCGTAAAAAGCGTAAAGAGAGCACACCAAGATTTATACTGGTTCACCACAACGTGTGGCTAATCCAGTCTTCCGAGAGACTCTCTCGAGCTACACTACTTCCGTTAAGCTTACTGGTGCTTAACAAACCGTTACAACCTGAGAACTCGAGTCCCACGAGCCTCAACAACACTTGCTCGGAGATACCACACTCCAAGACTTCAACTCGAAGGAAAATACCTTTCCTTCGTACAACCAAGGGAAACAAGCTTCCCTTAACGTGTATAAAACACTAAGACACTCAAGAACAAGGCTCTCTTTTAGAGTAGATGTTGAGTAAACTATATACACTCAAGAACAACTCAAACTTCACAAATTGGCTCTAGAAAGCTATGAAAAATGATGTTGTTTGAATGCAATGATAATATGAATATTGTGAAGTGAATTGATGTGTAAAGCAGACCCAAACACCCCTTTTTATAGTGCCAAATTAGGCTCCAACGGATCAAAACATTTAAAGGGTGATTGGCTTCATTTATGGGATTGATTAAAATGTGGATCTGCAGGATATTGGCTTCCCATCGATGTTTAGACTCACCCATCGCTGGTAAGCCAATTTTCCTTCAGTTTTGAAGCCAATGGTCACCTACCCATCGATGGGTAAATGCTTCCCATCGCTGGGTGGGAGGTTGACTTTCAAACAAGGAAAGAATGAGCCTTAAATGACTCACAACGGTCATGCCTAACCAGCCATGGGTATGCCCTCCCATCGCTGGGTTCCCATCGATGGGTAAAGGTTCCCATCGCTGGGTAAGGGCATTCGGCCTTGTGCAAATGTTGGACCAAGGCTTAAACAACGATGGGTAGAACTTCCCATCGCTGTTTGGCATGGTTCTGGAAATCAGTTGGGCTGAAGGCTGCTTACCCATCGCTGGGTAATATCTCCCATCGCTAGGTGAAATGATTCTGGAATCCCGGGATCACTTACCCATGGATGGGTGATATCTACCATCGCTGGGTAGATGGCTAGCCCAGAACCATGGCCTAGCTCACCGGCACTAAAACCCGACCGAAAAATGCAAAGTTCTCCAAAGTAAAAACTAAGTATATAAAACACTTATTTAATGTATTGTGATGTCAAAACAAGCTTTTTAAGTTGAAAACCATGTCGTTAAGGTAAAAACCATGGTTGACCAAGTCAACGCCGTACGCGGGTGGTTTTTACCAAAATACAAAACCGAAAGGTGGTTTTCATGATGTTTTGATTGGAGAACCATTTAAATGCATTAAAAAACAATTCCCACACAAAAATACTTGAAAACCACTTCATTTAAGTAAAAACCACGGCTAGCCAAGTTTATGCCGTTTTGCGTGGTTTTTGTCAAACGACCAAAAGCGAAAGATGGTTTTCAAAGTGTTTTTGTTGGAGAACTATTTAAACATGCCAAAGAGTGAAAAACAATCATAAAATGCTGAAAACCACTTGGTTGGTTCGGACACCAAAAACCAACGCCGAAAACCGAATGCCGAACGCTGGTTTCTGAAACCCGAACGCCGGATAGCTTGGTTTTTGGTTTGGGCAAACACCAAGTGTTTTTAATGTGTTTAAGCATGTTTGAAAATAATTTTGATGATATGTAAAATGCAATAAAAAATGCTTTATCCTAAAGAGCCAAAGTGCAAAGCTTGGGTCGGTCTTGATCACATTGTGACCGACTCAACGACGCTAAAGACTACGGTCTTCGTTCCTGATCTCTTTTACCTCTTGTTCTCTTGCTTTATTCTTATATTTATTTCTCGCCTTGTATATTCAACAACTTGTCACGTTCACAGCGGTTTGGCATTATCAAAACCTATCATAAAAACAAACACGGCTTTAGTACGAAAACACGATAAACCCGTGTTTCAACAATCTCAACTGCCCACTCAGCCCACTCAAATTTTTCATCGTCTTCTTCGCGAGAACCTTCTGATAGAATTCTCAAGAACCCTAATTTCTTCAGATCTTTTCACTCAAAATTCTGAGAAAATGAAGATTGTTGGCGCTAATGTCCATTTCCAGAAGTTGGAAGCCAAGTGCTCTTCACCAACGTTCTATCAATCCTTTCTGGAGATAATTGATGCTCAAGAGCTCTCCGAATTCCTTCATATGGAGATTCGATTCAAGTATGAGAACGAAGTTCTTGAATTCTACAAGAATGGAAAGGTCAAGACTGTCAAATCGAAGAAGGACCCACAGAGGACGATTCAAGTCATCAAGTCCACTGTTGGAGGAACTGAAGTGAAGCTCTCTTAGAAGAAATTGGGAGAAAAGCTTCACCTTCCCAATTCTGGAGTTGAAATTGGGAGACTTCCAGCCAAGAATCTGGATTGGAATATTATTGGAATTTCCAGGCAAGTTCCTTCTGGCCCAGCGAAGAAAGCTAATCTGAACAACGACTACAAGCTAGTCCTTGAACTGGTCATCGCATGCCTCGAGTGTGGAAGTGGAGGATGTAACACCCTAATCCGTCCAGGTCTGCAGCCCCTTTCAGACTAAAGTATTAACTTGGTAATTGTAAAATTTAAAAACTTTTCAAACACTTGTATTTATCAGAATAATATTTTTCGTAACATATACAGTGCGGAGTTTTCAATATATTGCGGAAGCTTAACAAATCATAATCACAATCATAATTAAAACCATCACATCCATTCCGACAATCCCGCCTCCGTCTGCCTCCAGGATCACGTCACATCATTCTTTCTATTAACCTGCGTGTAGCAAATAAAACATACTACACGCTCAACAGTAAAGCTGAGTAAGCATATCTAATGCGTCGAACATCCATATAAACAGAATCTCAATTCATAATCAAATCATTTGATATCATGCACATAATGTTTAGTTCAGATATTCAATAATCAATATTCAATTTTCAACATTCATTATTCAATCATTCATCATTCAACAATATCCTTAAACTATTCTTAGTCTAAGGCCAATCTATTTGATGTTTACCAACTCTTAAACGAATTCTAGTTTAAGATATTTAAACTATATTCGAGTTTAAGGTACTCTTAACTAACCCTTAAGCTAGGCCTAGTTTAAGATACAAATTTTCAAAAAGAGGTTTTCAAAATCTTAAACTTACCTTCGCTTAAGGTCATCCAGAAA